CTCTGCTTGGTCTACCTGGCCAGTGTTGCTAACACCGTACAACCTACCGCCGTCGATGTGCATGAAGCAGCCGTACATGATACTATCACTCTTGATCCCTAGAAGATATTCTCTTGGAAATGACATTAATGTTTTCCTCCAACCATTAATTGACGACTTGAAGCTTCTCTAGGAAGAAGGCGTCAGCACTTATGATGCTTATGGTAAGGAGGCTTTTCGTATGCGTGCAATGGTCATGTGGAAAATTAATGACTTCCCAGCATATGCGTGCAATGGTCATGTGGATATTATTGGACTCACATACCTCACTAGGGCTATCGCCTAGTGGCTGTGTACATGAAGATGCTTCTTTTGAACTTGAGGAAAAAGCCTCCAAAGCGTGTTGGATCTCCTCCAAGTTCCCTTGATGTGCTTCTATAAATTTTCATAATGTGTAAGCACTATCAAAAGAATCAAGCTTATTAAAAAAAAGATGAATCAAATGCATTATGTAAGAATTCTAACAAAAACTTTTTCATTGTAAACATTCTTTTATATACATTGCTCCACTTGAATTTCTCTATTGTGGGCACAACATAAGCATAATCAATAATCTCTCATAAATCAAAGTGTCTAGAACTAACAAAAAGCATAAATCTAACACACCATTGTGCATAGGAGAAATTATCAATTTTAGGAGCAATATTAATAGCATAACCTAAGCAAGGTGCACCGTGTACGTCCATGATATATTATGCAAGCAATATATAAAAAATCTCAAAACTAGATTAGCAATATATAAAGGCTTAGATCTTTAACTCAAGGCGGTTAAGCCACAAATCAAAGAGCACCACCATTTGATACCAATTGAAAGCACCCTAGAGGAGGGTGAATAGGTATATGCTAATCTAATCCAATTACAATGCCAATTTAAAACTTATTAACAAACTATCCTAGAAAGTATAATATTCAAGAGATATATGCAAGGATAAGAGAATAAATAAGGGCAAAATAAACATGAACCAATGACGATATAACAATATAATGAGCACAAGAAAAATACGCTAAGGCAAATGCAAACAAACGATATAATCACAGAGTTCGGTCCTTCCAACCTACGTCTCTGCTCTCCACTCCCGACGAGAATTCACTATCACAATGGGTTTTCGACGTTCACCCAAAAATGTTTACACCTCACAATTCGGTTTTCTACATTCACCGACAAACATTTACAACTCACACTTGTAACTACACAATACCTCCTAAAGTGTTAGCCTCTCACGTGTCACCTTCATCAAGTGTTCAGAATTACCACCTCTCTTTAAGCTTCACCAACCTCACTCTTCTTGGAACCGACCACGTCTCTCACCTTACACTCATCTTGGTGTACATGTGTAATATAATGTGATCTCACAACAAAGGCTCAAATACAATTGTTTGTTCTCTAATACAAGGATGAGAACTAAGTGTACACAACAAAGGCTCAAATACAATTGTTTGTTCTCTAATACAAGGATGAGAACTAAGTGTAAGCTCACTCTCAATTGTCACAACCAATACAATTGTTTGTTCTCTAATACAAGGATGAGAACTAAGTGTAAGCTCACTCTCAATTGTCACAACCTCTACAACTGAAAATATACAATATGTAAAAATACTAAAAGCTCAAATGAGTTGTATGTAAACAATGAGTAATAACAAAAGACTAAACTTAAATTAATCTAGCACAAATATGTATGTATCAAAATATAAATAAACTAGAAGATAAGTTTAGAAAAACTTCTCTAAGAATCAAGAGAGAAGGAGATGAGATTGAAGCCCAAACACAAATAGATGATCTCTTCTTCCTCTTCTAAAAACCTCTTCACACAAACTTTTGTAAAATACACTTAAACCAAACTTAAACACCCTTAAACTTGTTTTTAAAACTCTCTTGGTTATTTCAGAAGTTAGAGGACATGGGGTATATATAGACTCATGAAACAAACCCTAAAAACCAAGAAAAACCAAGGAAAAAGATATAAAAACCCAAAATCTAGCATTCTGGGTTTTGAAGTACCTTTAAAAATAGTAAATAAATTCTAAAAAATTTAAAAATTTGGAAAATGATTATAAATATGAAAATAAACATGTTACAAAAAGATTTTTTTTTCAATTTGCACTTCCAATTGAGAAATCTTTTCATTTTGTAAAATAGTCCAAAAACGTTAAAACTCAATAATACATGATTTTGACATTTTGACTTAAACTAAAGTTTGAAAACATTTGTATGGTTTTATAGACTTAGAAAAGGCACAAACCAATATTGCAAGTCTATAATCCATAAACACAATATTTTCTCAAAAATGCATATATTATGCAATCTTACAAAAACAAAATGATAAATATGAAACATGTATGTATGTATATAACTTATCTTGTTTGTTTCATATTCAAACTTGAAAACTATAAAACCAAAATGTGTATGTGTGTATAAGATTGAACTCTAAGTATTAACACACAAGTATAAACCCTAAACTATAAAAACTATACCCAAGCAATCTTGATCTTCAATTAAGCTCGTCTTGATAAACATAGATGAAACTTAAACTTGAATCTTTGACTTGAATTGTGATTTGCTTCATTCCGATATTCCTTCCATCCTCCAATAGATATGATCATGTAGGCGCAATCCAACCAACCTCCAACATCGTTGTTTGTCTAGAATACCTAATAACAAACACAAACACTAGAAAATGATGATAGAGATTGATTATAAAATCATCAAAACAATATTAGGGATTAGACTCATAAACATGAGACTTCCAATGTCTAGTCGAATCCCTTCTTCAAAACGTCGAGCTCTATCGCCTTCTTTACCCAACAAATGGGTAACAAAATTTAAAAGATAAGTGAACTCCTCGTCATATTCAGCTACCGTCTTATCACCTTGCTCTAACTTTTGGAATTCTTGTTCTTTTAGCTTGCAGACCATTGTGGGGAAATATTTTTCATAAAAAATCTTTTTAAATTCCTTCCATGATATCTTGTATGCAATTCTCCCAGCGTCTTAACTTGCATTTGCCACCATCCATAAGCATGATCTTTCAGCATGTACCCGCATAATCAAACTTTTGCTCTTCAGAGCATTTCACACATAAAGACTTTTCCATTGCAGTGATCCAATGCTTAGCAATCATCAGATCAGTAGTTCCCTCAAAACTAGGTGGGGATAGTTTCTTGATTTCACCCATGTCACTTCTTAATTTTGAGTGTTCACTGTTCTGACCATTCATCTGGTTATGATCAATTTGATCTTGTTGTCTGGTGACTATAGATTTCACTGCATGCAGTAGTTCCATCAGCTCATTGTTGTCTACTAGGTTTCCTAAGGTTGATGCACGAGCAATTTTAGATCTCATCATCTCACTTGTCATTTGATTGAGGTCATTATCTCTATTAGGAGGGGGTTGATCATTGCATGTAGACATTTCTCCCTACAAATAATAAAATGTTTGGGTCAACCATAATACGAGAGGCAATTCCTAAGATAATTACATATATGCAATTCAAGAAATTATGAATCCAATTGTTGCTCAACAATATAACACAAATCAATACTTACAAGCCAAAAGTATATTATTGATATTTAAATTTTTAGATTATACACATATATGAGTATATAGGTTTACACATATACATGTTTTTTTTCCTACCAAAAGTCCTATATATACCAAAAGAGTAACTAAGAAAACCTATATATTGTTCTTAACAAAAAAGTTCTACTAGCTAAACTCTACTCCATCGAGGAAGAGGAACTACTAGAGCTAGACTCCTCATTGGTTGACTCGGTCTCCTCTGAGTCCTAGTTACTATCAGAGTCAGACATAGGATTTGGATCAATATCACAAGTTCCCCACCTATTGAGATCAAGGTCTATATCAAATACCAAGGATACTTTACTTGAACTCAAAGGCGGGGGAGCCTCTGATCATCACAAGAAATCCAGGCCACATGAGACTCCATGTTGGAGGAGTCGGATAAAATCATAATGACTTCAAAGGGTGAGGACTTAATCAGAATAACTTCTATCACTGGCTCATCCTATTCAAAGGGATCAGTATCGAACTCTGAAGAATATACTAATGTGACCTCTACTGACTCTACATCAGAGGAATTTAAGATCTCATAGTTGGCCAAAATCTCTTCTGGGTTAGTCTCATCAGAATCGAACTCCCAGTCTTTTTGGTTAGGTTCCCAAGAGCTGTCTACTAAGATCGTGTAGCTAGAGTGGGTATTTTTGAGGGGGACTATTCATCAGCACACTAAAATAAAAGGATAAAATAAAACAAACAAGTATTAAGAAAATAATACAAAAATTCTAAAATGAAATAAAATCAACTAAATACCACATGTACGTTCCTTAATATACGTAAAAGGCCTTACTTATAAAACATTTATATGCATATATGTCACACAATTGATCTATTGATAACACTCATCTAGCGCATATACAGTATGTTAACGCATCCTACAAGGCTTCTAACGTCGAAACTCAGGTCACTGATATCATCTTACTGTCACGCCTTAAAATTGCAATGGATATTCATGAATATGGGTTACGTGACTACAACGATGTCACGCCTTAAAATTGCAGTGGATATTCATGAATATGGGTTACGTGACTACAACGACCCATGCACAAGACAAATCCCATGCACGAGTCAAGCCTGACACTTCATATCACATAGTTTATCTTAGAACATATATAAACATACTGAGTTTAAAAGTTTAGAGCAACTATATATATAATCGGTACTTAGAACCAATTATTAGGTCATAACTCTCTATCCTCCACTCAAATGGGTTTATTAGTAAAACTTAGGGGGTCTTGATAAAAATTTTCCCCTTTTATTTTGGCCTTGATCGTCTTCCTCCTCCATCCTTTCATTTTCTTTTTTTCTTCTCTAAGTTGTTTGAGGTCATGCTAGCGGTCTCTTTTGCCATGGTAGGAGGACAGTGGCGAGGAATCACAGGCAACCATGGGGCCCAGCGACAAGGCTCTCGCTGGATCTAGGGTTAGTTTTTTCTCCACATAAATCTTGAACCCATAATAATTCTCTTTTGCAATCCTATTTTCCCAGTTTCATAATCAGAACAAGTCATCATCCTCACTTATTCTATTTTTGATTCAAATTACTAGAATGTACTATACAAAAATGAAAATGAGTTATACCTTAATGACTGAGGTATCGGTTTACAGCCTTGGTTCTTCTCTCTCTCCTTCACGAGCTTCCTCTAGCTCCCAGAGATTTTGTTGAGGATGATAGGATTTTTATTTGTTTTTCGCGCCGTTTTTATTTTTCCCTTGAGGAGGTGCCGCCCATATCCTCTAATGATTTTTAGCCACTAAACCTCCTACTTGGCGGCTTATCAAGAGCTGTTAGTGAAATTCCAAAAAAAATCCATTGAGAAATAGATATTTCCCTAATCTTTATTTAAGTGGAATTTTTTAACATTAATTCAAATTTTGGTACCTAATTAGTTGAGCTACTACAAGTTACCCTTATATACTTTCGTATACCCTAATTTGTGCGTGCGGGGGCTGGGGTACAAATGACTTAGGGGCCGTTTGGTTGCATTTGTAGTAGAGTATTTATGACACAATAAGTAAAGGGGTTGTCCACCTCATCACTCTCTTATTGAGCTTTTTTATTGTTTAGATTGGATTCCTTTAGCAATCCTAAAGGGATAAAAAACATTGTTTGGTTCTCATAACAAGTTGTTGGTAGGTTGAATCATGTGGACCCCATCTAAAAAATCAATTTATCCATTAATCTCTGATTATTTTAACAATAATCTCTTTTCCTATCTCAAAAAAATTTCCATTGCCTCATTGATTTTCTCGAGAGACCGATCAACATGTCTCCAATATATTAACAAACCCTCATCACTCCATGATCTCCTTCCTCTCCTTTTGCAGACTTCCCAACAACCCAGAAAAAAAAATCATCAAAGATTCAAACTCCTAGCATTAAATGAAATCTGGAAAAAAAAATCTTAAAGTCACAAGATCCAACTCCCTATTAGTCCCTCTCCAGCCGTGCCAAGCAAAAAAGTTCATCAATCTCTTGCTCAACTCCATCAACACCAAAGAACCCAACATTAATTAAGAGTATTACTAGGGCTATATAAGTTTGAAATATGAAAATTAAGATCACTTTCTTCTCCAAAACTAATCTCCTATTTCCTTCTACTCTTTGTCATAATTTATTTTAGATATAACTGAAGCTAATCTGTATTAATGGATGAAAACGAGATTGAGGAAGAGACTGAGAATAGAGGAGAAGAGAATAATATATACTAAGGGTCCGTTTGGTTGCTTTATGTAAAAACACGCAGTAGCTACAGTGATATGGAAGCGAATGGTCCAGCTGTATCTGATAGCTACAATAAATCGAGCCAATTTCACTGCTTTTTGCTGAGAAAAACTGAGGGGCTGCCAACTCAGCTACAATAATGCCAACTCAGCTACAGTACCCACACTTATTTGAGCTAGCCAAACAGAGGAGTTTGTTGTGATACTATAGCACCTGACATCTACAATATTACACCTCAAAAAATTGGCAAACAAACATGCCCTAATTAGTTTTGTTTTATGCTTTACAAGCACTAGTATTCATCCCATGCTAAGCACGGCATCTTTATAGATTATTTTTGTGCGTAATTTTTCCCCACGTACATCATTTTTATAGTTTGTCACGTAAAATTTATCTTAAAATTATATTATACTTTATAAACATGGTTTCAATGCTAATAATTAATAATTAACGGTCAATGATTTGCTCTATGAAATATTCATTTGCTTGTCAAAGTGGTTCACTAAACCACATTAGCATGATAATAAGCCTTCAACTTTGGTTGTTAAAAGAAATTTAAATCACCAATCTAATTTGTATTAAATCATATAAAATTTGTATTATAACCTACAAAGGGCTTCATATTTTCAGTAAACCACATAAAATTTATATTGCTCAATTCAGCTACCTAAATGCAATTCCACAATCTAATCAATAATCAATGAACCCAAAAGCTATATTTAATAAAATTAAACTATAAATATGTAGTCATTTAAGAAATAGTTAAGGGAGAAGTAATCATAATATACTGGTAAGTTTATAAACCAAGAAATAGCTAGAAAAAAGTATAAAGATAAAGAGGCCCAATAAAAAAAGATTTTCCCTAAATGACAATACATGTTGCAGCCAACAACCTGAAGAAATAGTCAAGATGCCCTTCATCAAGATCATGAGATATCCACCCCTCCTCTCCTCCCGCCGCTCGTCTCAAAACGAAGCAATCATAACCACGACGGAGCTCAAATAACCACCGAGGGTGAGCGTGAGCAATGACATCGACGTTGAAAAGCTCTTCATCAAACCAGGACCTTGGTCATAGAAGAACTCTAGCTGCCCAACATAATACAATCCCTCAGAAGCAGCAACCATGAAATACTGAGGAGTTTGCCATAAACTCTAGCTGCCCAACATAATACAATCCCTCAGAAGCAGCAACCATGAAATACTGAGGAGTTTGCCATGATCCGCGCATATTGTGACTTTCCAGTCTCTTTGATTCTATAATTGCAGCTATCACCATTGTTGATATCATGAAGAGATGACCGATGCCCATTCTTAAAAGAGAGCTTTTTTAGTGCAAGGGGGATAACTGCATCATAGAGGCAAGCCCAAAACACGAAGCTTATGATTTCAAATGTTGCGAAAGACGCAGGAGGGATGAAGAAAGATTTGATTCTTGTGTGCATTGACTCCCCTTGCTCGTTGAAGGTTGTTTCGACCTGTGCGTACGCAACTGAGTAGAAAATGCCTTTTACCCAAATTGGAACTATAATCTTATAAACTCCTTGATGTGCGTATCTATGGTGCCCGTTCGTTCAGTTGTAGGACTTCTAAGACCCTTGTGTCTGAGATGAATGCATCTGCATCTTTGTCAATCAATCTGCTGGACACAAAACACAGGGGATAAATAATACTATATATTAATGAAATGATCAAGTGACAACTCTGTCCAGTGTGAAGGGCTCCTTTTGAAATCCTCTGCAGTCTGGCCCTTCGAGATTAATTTCAGCAACGGATGGCGTGTTTTCGACATGTGATGCCATGATAATAAGCATAGCAAAGGCATGTATATCCAATAGAAGAACCTAGCATGGTGTTGGTTGTGATACCAAGTTCTTGAATCCTCGAATTTGAGGCATTTTAAATCAGACATACTCAAATACATATCAATCTTTGTATCATGGCCAACACAAAAACAGATTTTTCGCCTACCTGAAATTATTAGTATCCTGAAGAGATAAAGGGCTACCCCTCATTTCCTGCATTTGGAAATTTTGGTGTTCCATACAAAAAAGCTTGCTATGGCCAGAGCCAAACGAAGCATCGCAACACTATATCCAATCGACCAACTGATATTCTCTTGTAACCACATGATGAGAGTCCCCGAAAAAATCCCCACAACATTAGTACAAAAATTAAACCAATTGATGAAAGTACCTCTTTTCTCTAATTGTACCGGGTACCTATTATCAAACTTAAAATTAGAATTGCAATTAAAAACGTGCACAAAATTATAATTATAAGAGGTGATAAGATTAAGCACTTCACAGAGGAGATAGCCATGAATCAGAATATCATGCAATTAAAAACGTACCTTTCATGATAAATTAAAAATCATCACAAAAAATCATGAAGCTTATTCCAAGGAAACCGTTGAAAAAATCATCACAAAAATCAGAGAAAATAGAAATTCAAGTAAAATACAATTGAATCAAAATTCACACAATCAATCACAAATTTTGAATTTTACCTCTTTCACTGAATGAAGAGAAGCAGCGCAAGCAAGAATTTCTAGCATCACTTCTTCCAATCAACAGAGATTTCGAGGATTGGGAAAGAGAATTTATTAGCAAAGAGGAAAATTTTGTAAGGGGGAGCCTCTGCATCCTTTCGACAAGGGACAATAAAGTTGCTGCTCGTCTTCTCGCTCTTCATTCTTCAAACTCTACGCCTGGAATCTTGGCCTGCGCCTGGAATCGAGACGGTGAGTAAGCGTCGTTCCTCATCCACTCCGAGTTGTCGACGCAGATCATCATAGCCTGGGGGAGTTTCACTCTTCAATCGTTTGTAAAAAACCCTAAGAGTTAAAAAGATAAGATGATGAATTGATTGCAGACCTCGAGAACCATGGCGATTAGAGGAGAGAGGAGCGAGTAGCATCAGGAGGAGCGGGTGATCGTGAACTAGTCGGCATCGCCACCGTCGGCGCTCCCGGGATCGATGGGTTTGGGATCCATGAATGGATGTTAGCGATTTTAGAGGGATTTTAGGGTTAGGGTTGTGGGGGAAGTTGAAGAAACTGCAAAACGTGGCTGAAGATGGGGAAGTTGGGAGAAGAAAAGAAACCGTTGAGGAAAATTGATATAATACGTGGATATTGAGAAATGTTACTGTTCATCCTTGGGTTTTCCTTTAGTTATAAAGGAAAGTAGATTTCTTTATTGTCAGGCTTTCTAGCCAAATCGGTTCAATTTTGGCTGATTTCACTTTCGCTGACACATCAGCTCTGTAGTTGACACGCCATTATGTTTCTTTGGTTTCAAACATACATCCAAATAGCGAAATCAGAGGAAAATTGAGAAAAAAAACCCCAAAAGCTGCCATTTCTTATGTTTTCATCGTTAACAAAATGCAACCAAACAGCCCCTTACTGTTTTTTGAAACTTTCCAACCTCCGTTACCTCCCCGAGAAAATGTCCGAAATGGAGTTATAAATCCAATGCGGATATTATTACGGTGTATTAGGCTACAACCATATATAAAATAATGGCATAACAGTAATTTGTCTATAGCAACGAGGCCTAATACTCTCCCAGGATGCTCTCCGAGGCTCCGGCTTCGCTAAGCAATCTGTTGTTGTTGTTATAATTATTAACTAATGAAAGAACTCAAAAACTAAAGCACACCCCTTCCAAAAAAAAAAAAAAAAAAAAAAAACAAAAAAACTAAAGCCACAGCATCTCGTAAATAGCCCTCTCCCCGACTCAATCCTACTCCGGGTCGTTCATCGGCTTTGGATCCAGCATCCAGAAACCCTATAAGCCCCCCCCCCCTCCCCGCTCAAAATTTAGGGTTTCTCTTCGCGCATTGTCCCTCCGCTAAAACCCTAGCAATATGAAGATCAGCCGTGATGCAACGCGCCGACGAACAGCTTCATCACCCTCGACGTGCATCCCGACGAAATCAGTAACCCCCCCCCCTCCCACTATTTTCCTCAGAAGAAAATCTCAAAAAAAAAAATTTCTAAATTTTTATGGTTTCTGGTATTAATAGGTTGAGAACGTTAAAGCGCTGCTTGAGGTGGAGGTAAGATGTTGGCGTTAACATGCTTTCGATGTTTTTGAGTTCAATCTGCGATCTTTTACTTATGTTTTGACAATGGGTCGAATTTCTATAGACGACCGTGTCGCTGCAACAGCAGCAACTTCATTTTAATGGTATTGTGATGAAGAACTCGGATCGATTGAGTTTGATAGGTGTAAGGGATGGAGATATGGTTATGATGGTTCCCGCTGCATCTGCATCTCGGTATCTCTGTCCTTTTCTAATCAGAATTCTATTGCTTTACCCTATTATATCTACGAAGTTTCAGTTTTATATATCGAAGAAAGTACGGAGAGAGTTTTTAGCATCATCATAGTAGGTTACGGTGATCGAAGAGTTAAAAAAAACTGAGATTCAAGTCAATACAAACTAATAGTGATGGATAGGCAAACTTAGAGAGCAGTAGAAAAATAGTAGTTTTCTTTTCTGCGAGATTTTTCCAACCTCACTTCCATGTAGTGTTTAAATTGTAGTCAAGCTATTGGATATCACGGAACGGCTCTTTCCAAATTGTTTTTTTTCTATCAAAATAATTCTGATGTTGAATAAAGACAGGAATATAAAAAATGAATTTATTTACATACATAGCATTTTCAATGAGCAGTTGAGTGCCTATTTAGGCAGCCGCCTGGATGAAGCAACATCTAGGTCAAGTGCTTAAAAATTTGGTCTAGGCACTCCCAATTAAACGCTAGGGGACGTAACTACTTGTGGGTTGATTAAGTGGACTACTTTATGTTAAAAATATGTAGGTGACCATCTGAAATATGATTTTGGAGGTTAAATTAATCAGGTTGAACCTGCTTTTAGTTAACTAGGGTTTTAAATCCTAAGGTTAATTCTGTCATGCCTCTCCTCCCCTTTTCTCTATGTCAGACTATCCTCTTTCACCAACCTCCTTATTCTGCTTATCTTCATTGACCCCTAGTGACGATCGATCCTATGCATCCTGTGCCTTCTTAATTGCTTCAACCACCGCCAAAGCAAAAAAAAAAAAAAGAATCCTTTTCAATTTTGTTTTGTGTTCAATTTTTATTTATTTCCCAAAGCTCTCTCCTTTCTTCTCCTCCTTGCTCTTCATCTGCTGTTACGGCCTTCACATGCAGTACCAACTGCCGATAACTTCTCTTCTCCCTTCTCCTCATCCTCTCGCTGTTTTTGTTATTGTCTTCTTTCTGGGTTAATTGCAGACACACCTGCCTGTACTTACAACCCAATTGCAGATAGACTCTCTGTAGTTCTATTTGTGAGGATAGACCCCCTGAATGGACTCTTTTAGCAGAAAAAAGTTCATGAAGGGGCACTATCTGCACTTGGGCAAATTGTACAGGTGTCTTTTCACACAAATAGAACTACATGGGTCTATCCACAATTGGAAAATAGTGGAGGGGGTTATCCATAATTAACCCCTTTCCCCCCCTTTTTCCCCCCTTCTGATTCTTATGCCTCTAACACCAACTAAAAAAGGAAAATTGCAAATAGAGGCTTAAGCGGTGTGTAGGTGCCTGAACACTAGGTGTTGGGTCTGGAACCCAGAGATGCTCAGTGCTTTCTAAAACACTAACATCCATGACATGCTTTAAGTCTGATAGATCTCACGTAAAAACAAGGATGTGCTATGGAGTATTCTTCAACCTGCCCATGGACCTAGGTACTTTACGACACTGTCTTAAAGTGAATAATTCCGATGGGTGTTCAAATGGTCTGAGAACCAATTATATTTATCAATTTTGAGGGAGCAAAAGGGGTAAAAGCTCTACAATTAAGGTTGCCGCTTCCTGTGCTAGTCAACTTTTTTACAATGGACAAAATACATGTTTCTAATTAACAGCCCTAGCTTAAATGAGAGTATTCCTATGATTGTTTGTTCTTATATAAGCAGGTTATGTTAGATCATCAAAATTTCTTCTGCTATCTGTGCAATATTTTATATAACATCACTGGGGGTTTCTCCACTTAATTGATCTCTCTACTACGTTTCAGGCCGGCACCCAATGATCTAAGAATGAATTCTGACGGTTCGGCTGTGAATCCGGGGGCGTTCCAGCAGAAGATTCGACAGGATTCCCAGATGATGGCTCAACTTCTTCAGGTTGTCTAGATGCTTGATCTATTTGGTTAACTGGGGCTGTTTTGTCGTGCTTAATATGCTTAGAAATTTGATTATGATAATTTGTAAATTTTGAAGTATTTTAGTAGGCTGTTCATTGAAGTCTTTCGAATTTTAAATGAACTAGTCTTTGGACTGTCTATATCAATATCACTTCCTGACCCTTCCACATTAAATTGTTGGCTCTGCTGTGTTCTGAAATGTTTTCATAATATTGGATCGTATTATCTTGCATAGTAGGTAGCACTTAGACAATTGCTTTCTTCAAAGATTCAGAGGTTTTAAAGGGAAACCTAGATCCTTGCATGAATATTTTCACGAGCAATGGCTCTCCAGTTTTCTGCCATTTGAGTTAATAGCCAGTTTCAAAATGTTATTTAAATATTCGACTCCAATCATTGATTTCAGCTTCAAGGTTTGCATTCCTGTTTCAAATTTAATTGTTAAATCATGAATTCATGCTTTTGCTTATTTCTGTCACTTGTATCTAAAAATATCCAGCCCTGATCTCGTCTTAGTTTAGTCTGTAGAATGCTTGTCTACTAATAGAATATTAGGACTGTATACATTGAAGAACGAACTTGATTTTGATGCATTTTCGAACTTTTTGCTGAGAAATATTTAATGTGGAACTAAGGCTAGATGCAGTTGTCTCTTGTTATGTATGAAGTTGGACCTGCAAGGGAATTTATTGATGCTTGGTTGCATAGATTATTCTGGCAGATGAATCACAATAAGATATGTATATGTAGAATTTTGAAAACCCTCGATGCTGATATTCCTTGGATATGAAATCAGATGAATAACTAGTACATATATATATATCTTATTGTAATTCATGTGCCTGAAAAAGTGTTAATGGTTTAGAAAACTAACAAGCTAAAATATTACCCTTCTTGCCATAGTCTTGTAGCACATGTAACTACCCAAAATGTTATTTTTCTAGTCGTATGGGAGTTTCCAATAAAATAACGACAATCCGCGACCCGTTTAAAGGATTGATAGTTGGGAACTTCCTTCATTTACATGCTCTTGTTTTTCAAAGCAATAGTACATGACTTCATTAGGAAAATACTAAATGGATCTCAAGACTCCTACCTAATGCCATTTTAGATTTTGGAGGAGCTATTAGGCTTTGAGCGGACAGTCTGCTATTTAACATGGATACATCAAACATGGCATTAATCCATTTCATGACACCAGGAGTTCCATTAAAAAATATATATAAAGAGATAGTTGAAAGTATTAGGCTTTGAGTGGATGGTCAGGACTAACATGGATACATGAAGCATGGCATGAATCCACTTCATGACACCTGGAGTTCCATTAAGAAAATATATAGAAGAGATAGATGAAACTATTAGGCTTTGAATGGATGGTCTGGATTAACATGGATATATCAAGCATGGCATGAATCCATTTCATGACACTCAAGTTCCATTAAAATTATATAGAAGAGATAGGTGTTAATCTTCTGAGTAAGGATAACTTATTCTTTACATTTCCAATTCATGTTTCAAGACTCAAGATATTGCTTAAACAATGTCAACAAATGGAAGGAATAAATTTGATTGATAAGTAACCATGGACTGACATTTTATTTATGCCTAATCCTAAATCAAACAAACATAAAAGTAACCAGTTTGATATAAAGTTTCGAATATACCTTCTAAAAAAGAAACCATTCAGGAATGAGATCGTAGAGGAGACCAGTAGAAGATGAGAATTATCAAGATGATGTCAATCGCAACCTAGAGTTTAACTTCAGATGAATTTGAATTACTAGGTCATGGGTGTGAAAGCTTTAATCTACCTGCATCTCATAAATCCCAAAAGACTGGTGCAAGTCCATGTGTATTCAACCTGACACAGCGAAAGGTAACCAAACTGAAATGTGTCCTTGTGCCATAGTTTCCTGCAACGGAAACATGATGGATTTGTACTGTATGTACCTGGCATGGATCTGAAGCTTATCCTTATTAGGTTATGTAATCAATATGCATAAATGAGCTTTGTGAAGTATGATCCATCACAGTATGGAAGTTATAAGATAGCTGGTGTAGGCGTAATGTTTAAATTTTGAAATTGAGCTAGTTTATAATTCAATCAAGTTTTATGAAACATAATATGAATGTTAAAGCATGTGCATTGCTGTATTGTAAATGATACCCTACTGTATCTTATAAATCCCAAAAGGCTGGTGCAAGTCCATGTGTATTCAACTTGACAAAGCGAAAGGTAACCAAACTGAAATGTGTCCTTGTGCCATAGTTTCCTGCAACGGAAATATGATGGATTTGTACTGGATGTACCTGACATGGATCTGAAGCTTATCCCTATTAAGTTATGTAATCAATATGCATAAATGAGCTTTGTGAAGTATGCTTCATCACAGTATGGAAGTTATAAGATAGCTGGTGTGGGTGTAATGTTTAAATTTTGAAATTGAGCTAGTTTATAATTCAATCAAGTTTTTTGAAACACAATATGAATGTTAAAGCATGTGCATTGCTGTATTGTAAATGACAGCCTACTAATAATATTTTGAACACAATATGGTATGCTTGTTTAGTTAATTAAACTATGCTTTAGGTTTTTTAACTTGCTGTCTTTCAAATTATCCATTTGTGAAACTTTACATTAACGTTATACAATGGAGCATGTGCTAGTATGGATCGACTAGCAGTGACTATAATTATGGTTTTAAGCATACAAAGATATGCTTGTTTTAGTTAATTGAACCATGTTTTAGTTTCTTACCTGTTGCCTTTTAAAATTATCAATTATGAGATTTGTATTTTTAATCAGCAAGTATATATTAATAGTAGTTCCTGTTTTTATTTAGTTTAATATTAGTAATTACTGTTCAACTTGCAGAATGATCCTTCACTTGCACAAGCTATCTTGGGGGATAGCCTTGATAACCTCCAGAACCTTTTGAAAGAGCGTCACCAACAGAAGTTGGTACTACGCCGTAAACAAGAAGAAGAGCTTGTATGGAACTTATCCCACTATTGAACATATGATGTTCTCTTCTTTTATCGATAATATTATGACTTCATATTTTTCAATACTTTAGCATCACATACTTTATGAGTTTCTTTGAGCTCAGTATAATTTTTTTATTAATATCTTTATAATATAAAATGAGCATCACTTCTGACATAGAGTTTTCCTCTATATCAGGCTCTGATGTATGCAGATCCTTTTGATGTCGAAGCACAGAAAAAAATTGAAGCAGCTATACGACAGGTTAAATATTTTTCTTATTTGTTGATTAGATGATTCCTTTCTGTATCTGCTGAATACTAGCAAAAAGGCTATATTAGAAAGTATTTGAAGTGATAATCTAATGTATATTTTTATTTTATCATTTATATCCTATGTCCTGTGCCTTGTGTATTTTCCTCCCTAATCCCTATGTTATTTATCTAATTTGAGACTCGATTATTATTTATTTATTTTAGTGCTGTGGTATCATTGATCCTAACTTCTGCTTTTGTAATAAATGAAACCTGAAATTTTCACTTCAGCATCTTTCTGAAATTTGAGGGGATGAACACTGAAGCAGGACAATATACTTTCAAGTTTCAACTTCAAAAGATGGAATTTTTTGGTAAACAGATATATAAAACCTGTGTTATTTTGAAATCCAGTGCCAAACAAGTAAAAATAGTTTATGTACAAAAAGCAATTTGAGGACTGAAAGTGGAAGTTGGAATTTAGGTTTTGACTTATTAGTAAAGTGTGAACAAGTAGTTGGAGTCTAGTAATCCCTTCAGATTTTAAAGTGCGAGGTTACAGCTCTTTTCTGTTTCAAAAACAAAATGAAGTTGAAATACAGGTTCTTACTTGTGATTTGAAGCTTTGAGGAAAGTAATGGTCCAACAGCATGGTAGAGCTGTAGTACTTCACTAAAATGTATACTGATGCCTACCACGTTGAAAATTTTGGTTTTAAAACTGCTTCAGAATGAGTTTTTAAAGTTTTATTGCATAACATGCACTGGGTAACATTTTTCTTCTTCACAATTTCTTATGTTTCTGATTATTATTTTGAGCTGCAGAAAGGAATAGATGAAAATTGGGAGGCGGCAATAGAGCACAACCCTGAAGCGTTTGCACGTAAAGGAATAGATGAAAATTGGGAGGCGGCAATAGAGCACAACCCTGAAGCGTTTGCACGTGTTGTAAGTGGTACCTTCGCATTGTTTTCACCTCACGGCAATAGAGCACAACCCTGAAGCGTTTGCACGTGTTGTAAGTGGTACCTTCGCATTGTTTTCACCTCATGCATTTTTGTTGTTTTTGTGCTCATGTTTAACTCTTTCTTCCTGTAGGTCATGTTATATGTGGATATGGAAGTCAATGGTGTACCTTTGAAGGTAGTGTTGAAGAATGGTAACTGTTTAATCCTAGTTTTATGTTGTAATATTGATTTTCTTCAGTAATTTGTATTACTACTTCAACTCCGCATATGTTATTTGTGCTTTATTGAGTGGCAGAACTTGGTTATGATTCTTCCTGAACAGAGACACACTGTTAAGTGTACATTTATGTAGAATTTGTTTTACCATTTCAACTGCTCATATGTTATTGTGCTTTATAACTTGCATATGATTCTGCTTGTACTGTAACACACTATTCAGCATACATTTTCTTGGAATTGGTGTTATTATTTCCACTCATATGTAATTATACTTTATTGAGTGGCAATAACTTGGTTGTGATTCTTGCTTGAACAGTAACTATAAAGTCTACATTTCTAGATGTAACGTATGTTTCTTTGATATATAAAAGTAATTTAATCTCATTATCTTGTGCTTTTTGCATTTTATTTTGTTATACACAATCTGTTCTTCTAGATGTGTTAAGTTTTACCCAATGTTTGAAAAAGCTTATTGAAGAGCGCTCTGAGGCTCACTCCGATGCATGCACATCTTATTCATAGTTCTGTTGAACACTTTTTCTTTTCAAGAGTCTGCTCTTGTCTTGCTGGGGCTCCTCGTGTGTTTTAAGTCAGTAAAACCCTATGTAATTCTTCACAAGTTTCAACAGTCACTAAGAAGGTTTCATTATCCACCAAGAACATGCCTGGTTATATCCATTTATTAAGAAAATTAGGAGAGTGTGTTCAATGATCAAAATGTTTGTATCCTGAATTAGAATCTACTCTTTCTTAAAGTTGTGCATAATCAATCAATGGCAAAGTTGCTGTATTTATTTTTGTCATCATTAGTATCACATTTCTGAGTTCTGTTGACAGGACATGGGCATCTTATGTTTAGGCACTGGATTTTTATCTATTTCTTTCTTATTTGGCATTATCATATACTATGTTTAAATATAGTTCAATTCCCTGGCATATGCTTTATGCTAAATAGTTACTGCATGGTGTTAGTACTTAAGTGCTCTTTCTACCTTTCAGGCTTTTGTTGACAGTGGAGCACAATCTACAATAATATCAAAACAATGTGCTGAACGTTGCGGGTACAATCTTTTTTCCTTCCAAAGAGGATCATATTTAGTGCACAACTTCTGCAAAACTTATGTGTTTTGAATTCTCATGTTGCACTCAAATGTCAAATGCATATGATTCAACTACCATGAAATATCAGAGTTGCTTTACCTTTTGACATATAAAATAAATCTTAAAGATATGGCTGCCTTTGGTACCCCCTTAATTTGGTGAAAATAGTTGAAAATATTTGTAGCAGCGTAAGAAATGTTGTAGGAAATGTGTCTATAAGAGCAGTTGAGTGGGTCATTATAATTATTATATTAATCTACATTAATATTTCACATACGTCAATATTAAGGAAAAAAAATTAATTGAACTACAATAATTAAAGAAGAATTTCATATGTTACATTAGTAAATTAAATAAAAATTGTGATTGACTTGACTACTGTCTATGAGGCCTTTATTTATTTGGAGCCGTTCCAGTAACAATGATCATGCGGACATTTAAATCATGATACATTATCAAAGGAGTCTTTTGCTTATCATTTGATTAGCATTAGTGCTGCATTTATTTACTTAATGTCTTGCCAATAAAAATGAAGTGCAGACATTTAAAACATGATAGGCCATTCCAAATGGCTTTTTTCTTATCATTTGACAATATTCATTTGCTAAGCTGGTTGCTTTTACATGATGACGAGAGGCACCTGATGACTAAGGCACATGTTCACTAAAACTGCTATTATAAGCAAGACCCTGCTTAGGTAAATAGCTAAATGTGATGCAAATAATACCCTAAAACTATAGTGACAATGTAATCTTGGATTAAATTTACTCTAAAGATATTCAATGAAAGCCAAAATCAAGGGGAAGACTTTGATGCAAAGAAAAAAAAACTCCAGGTGAATTCAATAAAAACATGAAATAATCAATAACAATGCCATATAGGTGCCAAGTGATGCCCTAATCTATTTTGTGATGTGAATATGAGAATTAGGCATGTAACAGATCAATAAATAGTCAAGTATTTGCAAAATAGATGCCTGATGATGCCCCAACATAATATCATGATGCTTGTCAAGTAAATGTGAGAGTCAATTGCGAAATTATCAAACATCTAATCTGATCTTTTGAATTTCAAGAATCGAGGTTATCAAGTTATGAAGAAATCACAGGAAGATGCCCAAATAATGACCTTAAGTTCAAACCAAGGACTGAAGAAGACAGAATATCTTCCTTGCACATCTTTTGTTGCATTCTTTTGAAAAGTTGAAGATGATCCACACAATCAGATCAGTTCCTGAGGGTTTACGTA